CATATGAGAAATAAAAAGAAAATACTCTACAAGGGTATAGTTTTTAATTAGTTTACTCAATGTTGAAGTAAGCTGGTTAAGCTCATTCAAGCCAATTTTACTGTGTTGCTCAAAATTATCACCAATGAAGGAATTATGATCTGATCAGCCAATTGAATGAAAACATTCTCTCAAAAAATTTCAGCGTTTACAAGGATTACATATTAGATGCTTGTCTCGTCATATGGTACACGAACTCTTTATCTTCCAAAAGGAGCACATATATAAGCATTTATTATTACATCAGGACTAGAGTTGCCACCTGTACAAGGCAGAAATCCGAAATCATAATCCGAAAAAACCAAAAACCTATTTTCACTGCCTTATTTAACCTTTTTCTACTGCATAGAAAGTCTAAAAGATTTCTTCTCTAGCGCTATATGATTTTATTCGATAAATACAAGAAAATAAAAAACATAAATATAAATTTCGATTTTAATCGACACGCTGTTTTTGGAGTAAATATTTTTGATCTAAATGAATGAGTTTCAATAGTTCTGGCTTTAGCAAAAAATAATTTTAAATTTGAGTGCATGATAACGATGAGTTTAACCGAATCTACAATCCAGCTGCAATGAGTTCTGTCGACACACAATTTCGTCTGCTCACTGTCAGAAGAAGCGAATAAAGAGAGAAATAGAGAGAAAAAAAGAAATAAACAAAACCGAAAGAAAACTAACTGGCACTTTAGCTGACCTATAATATAAGAAAGAGAACTCCACAAACTATAAAAAAACACTTGAAAATCTTCATGATCAGCGAAAAACAGCCAAAAGCAGAAAATTCTCAAAATCCGGACAAGGTGACAGCTATGATCAGGACTAAACTTTACACTTTACACAATCTAGGTGGACAGCCCTCGAAGTGCGATCATTCTAAACGCAAATGAATGAAAGTGCGTGCATAGAACAATGTCTGTAAAATACACTCACTATTTTGCAAAAATAATTCATCACATTTCAAAACAATTTTTATTTAAATTAGAGCAAGTTCACACTATGTTTTGACAATCTTTGAAATCAGTATTTCATACCCTTTTTATGTCCGTATTTCACAACTTTCGTCTATGCTTTTGTGTTAACTTCCATTGATGAAAATGAGAGCATATTAGTTTGGAACTGCACCAAATTATAGACTTTTAATGTCAATTGTTTCATTTTTTTATCTGTATCATGGGCAGAGTTACCAGATAGTCCACATTTTGCGGACAAATTCCGGATTTTTGACTTTTTTCCGCAATGTGTCCGCATTTTCTGCTTTTCTCCTGAGTTAAAAATTCGTTTAAACTCATCGTTATCATGCACTGAAATTTATAATTATTTCTTATCAACGCCAGAACTGTTTAAACTTATTCATTCTAATCAAAAATATACAGGTAAAAATAATGTGTCAATTAAAATCGAGATTTACATTTCTGTTTGTTGTTCTCTTGTGTTTTATTGAGTAATATAAAACATCTTTTTGACTCTCTATCAGTGAAAAAAAATTTCGTCTGAGCTAAAAAAATTTCGTCGGAAAATTTCGTCTGAGCTCGTGTCCAGATTTGGTACTCAATCTAATCAATATTTAACGAAAACATGCATTCTCTCACTGTATCTCCCAAAATAGTTGAAAGCAAAATCCTCCTCCCACTTTTCTTCCATGACAAAATAATTCTCAAATTGATATCAACATTATTATTATCATTTAGTTTTTGTGTTGAAATTCTGATGGTAGATGATGTTGTCTTCTCGTACGTCTATGATCTTCACCCAGAAAAATTTACACTCCTTCTGCTTTTTCTGCTCTCGCCACGGCACCGGTGCAATGTCTCGTGATACAGATAAAAAAATGAAACAATTGACATTAAAAGTCTATAATTTGGTGCAGTCCCAAACTGTATGCTCTCATTTTAGTCAATGGAATAACACAAAAGCATAGACGAAAGTTATGAAATACGGACATAAAAAGAGTATGAAATACTAATTTCAAAGATTGTCAAAACATAGTGTGAATTTGCTCTAATTTAAATAAAAATTGTTTTGAAATGTGATGAATTATTTTTGCAAAATATTGTAATCGAAAACAAAAGTGTCCATTAAGATCAAGTAACATTTTATTTTAAAAAGCGAAGTGATTGAACAAAAGGTTTTTGTCTTAAATTACTGTAATTTTATGAAAAATCAGATGTATAGACGCGATTTATCAGTACATGAAAAACACGTAACTCTGCTACCAGAATCTCTGTGCGTTACCGTTTTTTCTCTTTTTGTCTATCCTATAATTTTCGGAAAGAATAGCGTAGAAACCTGGAAAGCGTCTTGTTTTGTAGAATGAAGTGCGTACTTCAAAATCCAAAAACCAAAAGAAAAAAAAAGAATAAAGAAGAAAGGTATATAGGCGATAAAGAAAATATTCCACAAGATATGGATTAACTTTGAATTATTTTACTCAAAATTTTTGCGTTTTAAAAAAAAGATTAATCAACTCTTTTCTCAAGGTTTTTTTAGTGCAATAGTTGTAATGTATCCGAAATAGGCAAAATTATACACGACAAAAAGATTATCCGTTCACAAAAAACCGTTCATTCGATAAGCATACAAAAAAAAATGTCAAAAAAGCGTCCACACAAAACTCCGTTCAGAAAAATATAGAGCAATATGTGACGGAAAATCGTGAAGTTATGAATGCTTTTTTTTTGCTGTGTAGACTCAGTTGATCGTTACAGATTGAAAATTAATGAGTGCATATTAAGGTTAACCAATTTTAGGACAATCTTATATATAAAAATTTGCTTTTATTGGTTAAAAACAACTTAATACCGCAGGAAATACTCACATAAAATTTTACATTCTATTCAAAATTACCTCATACAATTCTACAAATTGGAACAGGCAAATAAATCAAGAGCACTGGTAAACAAACATTCTTTTTGCATTATATTTTACTAATACTAATTGATCAGGTGATACGATTTGTATCATTCAGTTTGTTCAGTTAGTATATTGCCACTTTGTATGTTGCCGACAATTAGCAGGCCACCTCGACTATATCATCAGAAAGCGACCATTATATTCTTTAGTGCGTATCTGATAAAAGAAAAACAAATAATTTAATATTTCCTTTACAGTAACTAGTGAATCTCTCATATCATAGATTATTTTGATTTGTGTCTTTTTCTCTCAATAAGGATATATGTAAGATAAAGGGCAATGGTTCATTTGTTATTCCACAAGACGAGTCATTTTTACTAATGAAATTAAAACATTTGTCGGACAATAACCAAAATCTGACGTCGTTGCTCTCTAACACCTATTCATTTATTATTAATTTTTTTTAGAAAAAAAATTTTGAACAAAAGATTTTGAAGACGTCGATAAAAAGTATTCGGAAAAAACTTTGTTTGTAAAATGCAAAATACGCAAAGAAGAAATAAGACTCATAATTCAATGGTAAAACAGCCAGACGAAATTTGTTGATATCATATGTTTTTATTCATCATTATTGAGATTTTCATCCCAATGATCAGATACGGTTTATCATATGGCTTTCATTGATTGCTTTTTACTCATTCCAGACGATTGCTGTCTATTTTTATTTTTTTTATGAATAATTTGACTAACTAATTTCAATGTTAAATCATAAATAAAATTCATTGAATGGGATGTTTTATTTTCTATGCATCTGTAAAAGTGTCACTGTATATTTTGAACATAACAGTGATTCATGATCTACTTCAAAATTCTTGTTGTCCAACGTCATGCCTATTAATGTCCATTGCATTTAATTAGCTCATTGTATATCCAATCGTATGTAAATAACACTTTACGCATGCTTTATAAACAAGTGCAACAATCTACGAAGACATATTATTCTTAGAAATAATTTCATACATTTGAATAATGGCAACAATTTTAGATTAAAAAGAAAAGTAAATTATCCGGAAGTGAACTGTTAAGTTGACTTTACAAATTCCTAACGTTGAAAGTGAACTTTGTCATCAATATTAACACAATTTTGAGCTCTAATATTTAATTTGTGAGACTCTAATATTTCTTAGATAACGCTTCTTCCATAGAGACGAACAAAATATTAGAAGGATTACATGACGTGTAAGACATTAGATTCAACACATTTGATAGCAGTGTACAGTTTATGCTTCATCACCTTTCATGATCTTTAATCCATGTATCTACGACGTATAAACTATGAATAAAAATGCACTAACAGCTAATAGACTTGGAGAAAGAAAAAAGAGAATAGAATCTTTCTATCTATCATCCATGATTAGTACTATGTAATAATTCAGGAACACTTACATACTAACAAAACATCAATAGCCGTCAGTTTTCAAATACATACAATGATAACTATAGTTTTGGTAGTAGAACTGTTCAAGTATGGACATGTATAGAAAAGAAAGAAGCAAAATCAAGCAAAAAAAAAATTAGAGAGAGAGAGAGAGGAGAGAGAGAAAACAGGAAATGAGAAAAAACTGTTCTCAATATATTTTTTCTTTTCTGAAAATATACCACATAGATATGACTCTACGGTATTGGATATAATATTGTTTTGTTTGTTGTTTGTTCTCAGTTGCCTCTTCTATATTATGTGTGACAATAGAAATTCGTTTGTCTTTTTCTAACAGTCGTGAGATTTATGCATGAACAACGACTGAAAAAACAGAGTGATGCAACAAAAATAACAAATATGTTTAGTGTTACAGTGTCACCAATGAGTTTGACGGCGAAGAGTAGTTACTTATCTATTGTCATTGTATTCTCTTTGGGGTTGAGCATATCATTCGGTAAGCACAGATACAATATCATTTTTTTTGTGTTTCTTAGCTCAACAAAACCACATTACTATTTTCAACGAACAGTTCTCGAGAATACTGCAAGGTCAAAGAATCATTTAGTTGGAGGGAAGGAACGTCGAGCTGAACTTAAATATGCTGTAAATCTGTCTGTCAAAATAACTTAATGTTCTTAGCATTTCCTGTTTTAATAACAACATCGCCCGCAAATTCATCGATTCAATCAAATTTCAATACAAAAACAAATATTCTTTTAACAAAGTTACCATTAGCTCAGTCAAATAGAAGTCGACATCCGACACATGTGCTACGTGTTAGAATAAGAATTGATACAATTGACAATGCATTAATTGAAACATTAGTAAATCAAAAACAATTGGAAATAATTGAAAAGCAATTGAAACAACGTAATATACCGTTTCATCAAATACAAGATAATAAAGATGGAATAACCATCATCGTGGGCCCATTTCACAAAGCAAATCAATTACATTCAAATCAATCGAGATTTAATGCAAATTTTAGTACAATTATTCCACAAAAGAAGTTTTTTTCACACAGTGAAAATGATCGAACATTTGAACATGGACTCCCGTTACGTGTGGAAGCCCAAGAATTTGATCTCGCAGTTGATCAAGGTTAGCTAGTATAAAATTTTAAAATACTTCTAATCAAAACTCGGCAGAACAAATCTACCCATCGGCAAAAGAATTGACGAAAAAACGCGTTAAATGTTTCAGATCGAACGCTTTTTTATCGTCATTTAAAGGCATTTTTCCTTAGTCTATCGTTTTATAAAGTCATTTTATCGAATTTCATAAGCGTTGATGAATTTGAAAGGCAATCAAAATGTTAAAAAAAAAAAACGCGTAACGCGTAAAAAAAGGTAACGCGTTTTGAAACGATTCAAAAAATGAAAACAGTGAGAGGATAAAGAAGTTCGAACCTTCTATTTTTCTTTCAGCAGTCTTCTACTTTTCCCTTTGACCCTATCCTCTTGACATACTGCTATCTGACAATAAATTGATCAAGGGTAGTAGAATGAGTACTTTACAGTTCGAAAAAGTTCTCACATTTAAGGCAGACAGTTGCCGGTCAAAATCAGAATTCTTCGTAACACTCAGTGTGCTTCTGAAACACTTTTCTTCTATTAACAATGAATGTAGAGATACTATAGTCATGTTTACTCGAACAGTTTCTCAGAATTTTAGTGTAATTAAGGTTATTTGAGTTAAAACTACGTTCAACCCAGTCTCTCAAACATTTTTACTGAATGTGCTAGCGAACAATCGTAAAAAAAAGCCGTTTAAACGTGTTTTTATCCTCTCAGAACGTTGTAATAAGGCATTAATTAATAATATCAAAACAGTAATTGGAACGCGTTTCATAATGACAAGATCTAAAAGCAGCATAGAAGCAATTTCATTGCGAAACGGGTTTCCAGTAGTGCTGATTTTGAAACATTTAACGTTTTTAACGGCTATTTTAATGTCATTAACAAACGTGTTCTCAAAGAACAAGTTTTTTGTATCGTTTCAAAATGATCTTTTTTGCCAGGAACTCCTTATGTGATTTTCATTTGAAAAAAGAAAATTTGAAAGAAAATATTTAAATTAGTTGATAACAAAGAATCCTACGCAAAGTTGATTTCTTCCATTAGGTAAATGTCAAACGTATCATTTTTCTGTTTAGAATCGTACGAATTTCGTAATTGCTTGGAGAGT